AGAAGAATTCTTATTGTCTATATCACTGATGAATTGAAAAGAGGAGTTGTTGCATAATAATGTTTATTTATTTTCTGCAAGTGTTAAAATTTTGGCGATATGTTTGTGAGAAATCTTCTTCTTCGGAGCCCCTAAGTAACAGAGTAATTTTTGAACGCGTGCTAGTGCTACAAAGACAGCTTTTGACATAATCCATCATCCGTTATCGGTCGACATGAGTACTCTACTCTTTGTTATCCGAAAACGCCGATTTTTGACTTTTTACAAGTCACTAAAGGATTTCGTATTCACGTCAACAGAAGAGTTCGTCGTACGTTCTGGTAACGCATATGTGTTTTACATTTTTCCTTCACTTGACAATTTCATGTTCATAAGTAATCTCTGCCTCGTCTTAAGTCTCCACCCATTCGAGGATGGACTATCACATGAATGAAGTGTCGTCCTCAACGTGCTTTCATAAATAGGACACCAGTCACATTTAATTGACCTGACATCACTCTATTTCTCTAGGATACAGGGTGTTCTTTGGGCATTATCGAGCGATATTATTTGCTTCTGTAGCCACATCATATCCTGCAGCAGTCGAATCAAATCGTGAGCCATCGGTGGGGCAGTGCTCATAATGACGATTCCTCAACGGTAACCAAAGCAGTAGTGACGGTGCGAGAGATATCCTTAATTACTCCTCAGCCAATGTTCTCATGTATAACATATATGTAGCGTATTATAATGAAGAAAATGGGTTTAAGTTTTCCACAGTTTGTCCACCGTTCTGGTGTACCCCATTGGCTGTTCAAGTAGAACTAAACTGAGCGCCTATTCTTTTATTCATCTTTACAATAGTGCCTTTCCATACAAACTAGGTGGATTGTGCTCTTTTGAGAAAAAGGCGTTTTGCTTGGCTACGAGGTATTTCATTTCAATGAATATGCACCATGCTTGTGCCAGTAACTATACCTTCCTTCTATATATTACTTACTTAGACACCTACTCCTTTGATATATAGCCAATATAATTCGTCTCCATGCTCTGTTCGATTCGTCATTCATCGTACCTGTTTTTCCGAGTCATCGCACAGAATGACTTCTGGGTTGCATGTGTAGGTGAGGAAGGCGGAATTACGATGTAGATATTTAAGCACTTGCTTGTGTGTGTGTGTGTGTGTGTGTATGTATGTGTTTGCGTGTTTGTATATGTGCCTGTACATATGTGTATGGGTGGTAAGTGTATGTGTATATTTAGCTGTGTTTGTGTGAATCGTTGAACCCGTTAAATTCTAAGGGTCCGCTCAGAAGTAATCTGATCCTTCTAGCTACATTTAGGAAGTTCTTCTACTGTTATTCACCATATCTCAGCGCAATCCGTCAAAATAAAATCGTCGATGCAAAATTTCCAGTTTTCTTAGGTAACTAATATTTTGTCTAGCACCCCGCCCTAGTTCTAATGATAAGGAAAAAGGAATATATCGGTAGAACACGGTGTACAATATGTCATCTTGAAGAAGATGGCTGACGACCACTTTGAAACATGCTGTGGTTATCGCTGCGGAAGCAATTGCAATAGACATCTTGAAATGAAGACCTGCGCCGACGTAGTTGATCCTACTATTTTAATGCGGAAATTTCAAAGCACCTTTAAAAAATTTGAAAACCTGAAAATGATTTTCCACGCCATTTATGATGTCAAGTGGTTGTCGCTCTCTCCCTTAAAGGATATGTCTTCATTGTTTTTTTTTTGTAGAAAAATTCCAAAGTAAAGTTGGTATGAAATACTTTTCACCAGTAAGCTGTATTGTTTTTTTTTACGCCATTCATCCACACTTTGTTTCAGGAACAGAGTTGAAAACAGTCTTCGCCGTTCCCCATGCTGATCATGAAGTAAATCAAGCAAATGTTAAGAACATTTCCATTTGTCTTTGCGTCTATCAAAAATTTTCCACTGCTCTTGTTCACTTGGTCAACACGAAGAACATCTGTCATAATTTCTATCAACAACCAAAATCTAATCATGGATAGAGATTGGTGTCTTCTAAGTCAATTCTGTCAAACGCTTGCGCTTGACTCAGTGTTCTAAAAAATGAGCCCCGCATCGACTATGGGAAATCTACCCAAGCTACGCTGTTCCCTATGAGACAAGCTTGGTCATAAAGCCGATTCTTTCAGGCTTGTAAGAAGTTAGACCTTGCGATTATGACGGCAAGATCAGCGCCACTTCGAAGAGGCTCGCACCTAGATTCAAGGACTAATGAAACACGACAGAGCAATAGGCTGTTTAATTAACTCTGAAAAACGATCATTGCAATACATATTGTGTTGAGTTCTTTTTCAAGAATCTGGTAGCACTTTACCAACCTAGGAAGAAAGACGACTTGGTGTCCTTGGTGCACGGAACTGAGCGAAAGACGATCTACTTGGTACAGCACCTTCACTCGCTGCACTACGTGTGCTTTAAAATATCCATAAATGGCTCACAGAATCAGAAAGTCGACGAGTACTATAGATAGGCCTTCAAGCAAGATCATCCTAGTAGACTAGGAAGTTTAAACAGCAAAAAGAAGAAAATTTCAAGGTAGAACACCAGTGTAAAAATGTGTGAGGTAACAATTCTTTGCAGATAAGCACCCACAAGCAAAACCTTACGTGGAGAAGAGTAGCACTACTTGCTGAAGATGCTATGTTTGGAAAGAATTTTCTCCAAATTGCGCATTCTCTTGCAAACATTAGTCATACAACTGCCTATACTTGCTATAAGATGGAGCTGTAGTGGGAATAAGTTAGCTTGCTACTCATGCACAAATGGCGCGTAGGATAAAATGCTAATGAGGCGCGCACAGGATCAATCAATGGAGCTTCCTGTGGACTGCCCGAGCTCGACTGATCCTCCGGACTGTTATCCCCATCTTGAAACTTCGCAAACCACTTCCTAGTCAAACTTTCTACAACCGTATCATCGCCCCAAGCTCCGTTAATCTCACTCGCCGCTTCACTAGAATTTTCACCTACGCGCCACTCGTGCATGAGTAGCAAGCAATTTTGTTCCTGAGGCAGTTCCATCTTGTAACAGTTGTAAAGAAGTCGCACACCAAAATGTTCGCAAGAAAATGCGAAATTGAGCGGCACCAAAATGTTTTAACCATTTCTATTCAATGAATTTGGTGTTCATTGCTGTAGTGGTAAAACTTATGGAATTACCTATTAAGAACGCAATGAATCATTCACGATTTCTACATTATTCTAATTCTACCATAACTTGTTGCAGACTGATAACAAAGACTTTTGGAACTATTCAGAATTATTCATAGTACACTGCGAAAGAGAACATTAGATAGTTCTTTGTAACAAAATGCTATGGAATGTCTCATCAGTTTTTTGTAATTGTCGATAACCATCTGAACTATCAGAGCTTTTGAAACATCTACTTAGAACGAATGTCTCATCCAAATTGCTGAATCAAGCATGACATTACCAATGATTCACTGTTTCTTCGGCAGTTGAAGCTTGACTTTTCCAGAAAATTTTTTACTAGGGACGCCCCTTTGCCAGTAATTTTGAAAGTCTTTAGCTTCAAGCACAAATTATCTGCCATGAGCACAACAGAGAGATTGTAAACTTGCGACTACTAAGCAAGACTCCCTCTTAAGAAGGATCTCTTTGCGGACCCCTGACTTTGAAAGGGTGAAATAAGGAAGCGTTTGACGTCCATGAATCGTTGAGAAGTGTACCATGTACTCAACTTTATTCGTGATCGTAGATCTGACTGACTGCTTATCTAGCTCTTACATTAACTTACGGAGGCCTACCAATGTGTCAAATCATTGCTTTATCCCAAGAAAATTAAACACCATTATTGTGAACCCTCTCTGATCGAAAGTCCCAGCGAGTCGAAGGCATAGAGTCTGACCAACGGTTACCCTTGTACTGCAAGACACCTCTAGCCACTACACATGACATGCATTTTTGTGTTTCAGCTTGTTTAAAGACATTTGACTTCAACGTTAGCATTAAAGTATTCAGTTAATGGTAGTTGAATTGCCAGTGGATGTTTAGCCATGTTCAGCAGCTGTTAAATAGGATACCGACGACTGTCCTAATCTTTTTGAATCAGTCTATTCGTATGTATTGCACATCCATAGCCGTTCTATACACAATTATTCATGTTACGTCGGCGCTGAACTTGTTTCATTGTCAATAAAAGCTTTTGCCATGTCACTAGGATTATTGATTTTGATCACCAGAGTTGTCCTTTTATCGGACCTCCAACCATCAACAGAAACCTCATCTTATTGTTTGTCTGATAAAATTACTACCCCTGACATAAAGTTTTACAGAGATGAATCGGTCATACCTATTGTCTTTCTAATTCGCTTTCCAACCTAATTAATAATCGATTTATTGATCGATTGATAATGCGCATAATCAACTTTTTGAAATCTAACACGATTTGTTATGATATTCAAAAGTCATATCTGAGAACGTCCTTTTTTTTTTTCTTTTCATCGTAAACTTGTACTAATAGCTACCATAGAGTTTTTCCAGGATCGCACTTTTCTCTATTTTCTACTAGAACTTAGAAGCATTACGAATGTTTTGCTTTTGTTCGAACAAATTAGTAGGAAAATTGATTACTATAGATACTGTATTGTTGTTTAAATCTTGGAACTATTCTCATCCGTAATTTAGAGAGAGAAAGAAGGAGAACGAGAGAGGGGGAGAGAGAGAGAGGGAGAGGAGGGAGAGAGAGAGAGAAGGATGGAGGGGAGAAAGGAAAAGAGCAGTAGAAAGTGGCTAAACTTCCTTGTGCAGTTTAAAAGTGAATTATTCAATCAAACTTAATTATATTTAGAAAAACAAATTTATTTTTGAATAGACTACCAAACTTGTTCAAGTTAAATCGTACAATTTTTTCTTTACTCTTCTTTTATTAACAAACTGTTATAATCGCCATCGAGTTTCATCTGATAACGAAATATTCAATACTATTGAGCAATATGCAAGACCTTGAACATCGGGCGAGAGTTGAACCTGCGCATATTAATCTTTCCGCGAGTGGCGTGCTAACCACTGCACTACCGATGTCCTATTCTTTTCATTCTTTCCATTCTACTCCCTATTTGCATATCACTCAACACCGTTAGATATGACGTAATAATTTAATTAGAAAAATTGCGGATTTATTCCAGTGGTACGTTGTCATTAAGGATTATTCGCCACATGTAAATATTACCTTACTCGTTCGATATTCTTTTCATTAAACTAGTATATTACGATCGGAACGCTCAAACGCTGATGACACGTTTTCAGCTTCTGCTATTACCTACATAATGTTTGTCAGACTAAAGGGAAAAGATCGAACGGATAAACGAGCGAGTGCGAAAGTTGACTCAAATTTATCAAACTCTTCACCAAAACAGGTCGGTGTATCATTTACCATTACTTCCTCGAAGTCTTTTGATCTCCTGTTACATAAGAATTGAAAACGAAACATCTCATGCGTCATCTCAGATAACTGTTTCAACACACAAATTGTCACGTCTTCAGATTCTCGCGTTACTTTTTCGAGATTATGTGCACTGTTGCAGCGATGCTTTAGAGATTCCAAATCCAAAAAAAGCCTCGAAAATCTCTTTAAATTGACACTAAAATTTACTCTGTTCTCGTCTTTTGTGGATCCAACCCGAACGCTTGTTTTTGTTTTCGGTGTCTATTGGTGTTTTTCACATGGTTTATTTCGAAATTGGCTTCAATTTATGCGTTTCTGTTATCAATACGCCGTTCATTTCATTTCTAGTCGAATTTTGAAGAAACCTTTGTTCAAATTTGTCACTCAGGTTTTTTCAAATAGACTTTCACTCACCCTGGATATGTGCGTCTTTCATTGATGTCTTTTGCCTTTTTTTAGAAAAATTAGCTAGAAGTAAAAAAGGAAACTCCGTTTTTTTTCACAAACCGTCCTTTTTCTAAAACCTTTACGAGATCGATATGTCTTCTTCAAAATCGATGGCTCACAATTTTGGTGTCCTTTCTCAGAGCGTCTGACTACTATTTAATCTATTATCAAATCTATTACTATTGTTGAGTCTTCAAGGTGAACAAAATCATTACCAATAAACCATGAAAATATCGTTTTGAACGATTTTAAAAGGGAATTTGAGGTACACCACGCTTCAAAAACCCCAAAAGTTTCTATAACACAGGGCATGACCCTCCGGAGTGCTCAATCATCGTTAGAAGTGAATCCATTCTCTTTACCTACTCGACCTCTTTCTAAAACAAAACTGCGCAGTAGTATCGCATGCAGTTTGTTGCATAAGGCTCAGAATTATCTTCGTTATGAAGTGAAGCTAAAAAGGTTAGGTCTGCAACAACAAAAAGTACACTACCTGCACGTTCGTCACTAGTTCTTGGGCCAAATGTTATGTTGACATTGCAATTTATCTCTGTTGCTTTACGACCCATTTTGTTCTCACGGTCTGAAACCGCAGTTGCTTTTGCACCAGCCAACATCCTTTCATATTCTAGAATAAATATAAAATAAATAGCAAGTGAAATGTTATTAGCATTAGAACATAAAGCGAAAATGCGCATTGAAATGATGCGTACTATAGCTACGTTTATGTAAGAATATATTTCAATCTCAAACGGTGCATTTCATCAATGCATAAACCGCATTTACTTTTTCACCAACTCGTTATATATATATATAGCACTTTTTTATTTCATTTGATCCGTCATCAAAGTGTTCCTTTTTTTCGCTGTGCGATCCCAGTATTTCTAGCATTTAATTCGTTCGTCTTCTTCTTGAACGGCGTAGAGGACTGTTTGAGCTTCTAGTTGCATTCTCGAGGATAGCGTTGCTGTGGCGTTCTTTAGGACGTTGTTGTTGAGTGCCGGAGAAAAATGGGGAGTGGAGCTCGGCTCCACGTGCGCCGTAACCAACATTACAACCACTCGGCCATGGCGCACCTTATAAATATATATATATATATATATACATATATATACACTTATGTACATGCATATATACGTGTGTTTGTACATATATACACACATGTATATATATGCATATACAATGCTGATGGAAAGTTGTGGGTCTCCTCAATTTTTCAAGCCTAAGCGTGCTCTCGTAATTTCTTTTTGTAGAAATCAATTAGAAAAATACTTTAGAAATTGATGGGACCACAACTCTCCAAAAAGGATATATATATATATATATATATATATATATATATATATATAAATGCGTATACATGCACATATACATGCACGTATATGAACATATATATGTATATGTATATATATATATACATATATATACATATGTATGTGTATATGTAGGGCCATATACCATATTTCGTTGCATGTGGTCTCATCACTTCTGTTGTCAGAAGCGTCAGAAATGTGAAAACCAGCGCGACAAGCCGAAGGGTGAGCCAGGACACGGGGGGTGTGTGAGCGCGGGTCTGTCCGCACTCGACGAGGTCAGACCATGCGGCGATCGGTGCAGGTTCGGATGGGTTTGAAATTGTGGATTTTGGCGCCAAATCGACGTCGACGTCTCGTCCCGTTTCCAGTACGGAAATCGATTAGTGGGGTTTCGGTCGATCAGTCAGTCAGTCGGTCGGTTGGAAAGTTCAGTCAGTGGGTGACAAACATCGAATTATTGCCGATTGTCGTCGGCACCTGCCATTCCAGTACGGATTTCCCGTCGATACATAAACTGTTTACTACATTTTTTTCGTGAATCGATTGATTGCTCTGAAATTGTCGTTTGCCTTCGCTCTCTGTACTCTCTCATCGACGGAAATATCAATATTGAAATCTTTTTACCATCTCATTTCCTTTTCATTGCTATACCTACTTTTTTATTGATTAACTGTAGATCAATAATCAATCAGTATTCTTTTTATTTAACTGCCATTTGCAGTGGTATGATGTTATAGTATACCCAATAATGTGGAGTGCTGTGCAAAAACATTTGCGTCGGCTCGGATTCGAACCCAGATCTCACTCTTTCCGGGAGCGTATGCCAACCGTTGCACCACCGACGCTCGTTTTGCACAGCACTCTTTTCTTCAGTGAGGTCTGGGTTCGAATCCCAGCTGACGCAAATGTTTTTGCACAGCACTTCACATTATTGTAACTCAATATTTATTTATTTCTATTTATATTTTTTCTTAAGGTAAATAGATGAAAATTTTAGACGGCTTACTCTCATATCAATGTAATATCGCCTCGAACAAAAGTGATAATTTATTGCCGTAAGTAGTAAATAATAGTAAAAGTAGAGTAGTAAGTCATAGTAGTGTATTGATAATTTTTTTAATAATAAATATTTTCAATATTATTGATAACAAATAAGAATGGCAGTAATTTTGTATAACAAGTGATGACCGACTCCCATCCATTCATCCTGTTCTTTCATCTGTCAATTAACATCTCTTCTCTTATCTATAAAAGTCATGACAACCCCTCTCAGAGGGGGTTTTTCTGTTTACTTTTACGATCACAACAAAATACTTGTCCAATTTGGTCAGCCATCAATCTCTGGTAGATAATCTTTTTTCCACAGCATATAAAAATTAATGCTAAAATTCATTTGCACATTCATTTGGAATTAAATTTTTCCATATTTGTATACATTTCACATGTAACTGTTGGAATTTTTACAATTTAAATTCTATCAATATTCGTATGATTTCACTGGGTTTGAGCTTAAAACTATCAAGAAATACTGAGTATGGTATTTTTTTATCCATACATTGTCTGAATCTAATGTAGTTCGCTTTTATTTTGCTTCTACTTTGAGATAATTTGAGAATTAGATTTGCATAAGATTTTTGTTAATGAAAGCAATCTATGGAAGGCATTTTTTAACAGTATACAGATTCATGTCAAAATATATCTATGCTTATTTTTCCATTTACGTTTGCATCTCCTATATGCATTTACATCGAACTTGCATCTACATCTAATTGTTCATTTTTTCAAATTCTATATTAGATTCATATGATTTATACCTCCATAACTCCCCTCGATTTTGAACGGCTCAAAATTGAAATTGTCATGAAAGGCTGAATATGGCACATTTCTCTTTTCATGCATTAGCTAAAACTAATGTAAGTCTTTTGTTTTTGTTTTTACCTTAAAATGATCTCAAGATTTGAACATTAGATTCGCACTAGATATATTCAAATAAGAGTAATCTATGATAGGTTTTTTTTGCATTTATATTGAAATACAGTTACATATACATCAACATTCACATTCACATGTCACCTACACATTATTCCTGTTTCCACAATTCATAATATTTTTCTATTAAATATGTCGATACATTTACGTTCCTCTGATTTCAGTAAGGTCTAAAATTGAAACTGTCAAAAAAATTAAAAAAAAACTGAGTGCGATGCATTTTTTCACATACACTAGATCTACTTAGTGTAGATTTTATATTCACTTTTTACTTGAATCAATCTGATATTAGATTCGCACCAGATCAAAGCGATCTATTATAGCAAGAAATCTTTCTTGAATTGGTTTACATATTTTTCGATTGTTTTTACTTTGTATGATTTCTAGGATGAATCGTTTCATCACATCTGTTCTGATTCGTTCTGACGCGTAATCGTTCCCATACGTTCTAGATTTACTTTGGGTCTAAAAGTAATAAGTGCTTTTGAAAAAGCTAGTCGGTTACTAATGTCACTTGGTCTTCGTCTTCCCATCGAGTATTACAAGTCTTCTCTGACGTTTCTAGATGCTCTTATCTCATCTTCAGTCGTTATTTTGTTCAAAACATTTTGATTCGGATTTTCTCGAATATCGACGTCCGTCTAACTACAACTCAAGCAATAACAATTCTATTCCCTAGACCGACTATCGATTAATCTCGGCTTAGTAATGAGTTGGGAAATAGTTATGAGAAAATGCTTGCAAAACATTTATTTATTTACCTATTACACCCGAACAGAGACAAAACTAATAGTCAAAGTAGTCCCCTTCACCTTCTAGCACTTCGTGTTATTTCTCCGGCAAAAGATCGACTCCGCGAGCATAAGATTCCGATTTCTTGCTGA